AAGAGACATTCTGCATTTTTTTTTTTTTTAGAGAAAAATTGATACAATTGGCAAACTAAAACTTACAAAGCCTAAAAATCGAGAGAAAACTTCCATTGTGGAAAATAGCACTAAAAGTTTGGAGACGACCAGGAGATGCATTCTTCAGTTATAGCAGAGACTCCAATAAAATTTCTACGTACACTGCTTATATTCAAGAAACGTTTCATCCCTTTCATACAACAGCCATTAACGATTTATACTGTACATAATTGTTTGATTTTAATCAGGGGAAAGCACTAAACACACAAGGGTCATATAGTGCCTGTAAAATGGGAAGCATTCAGATTCGGTCAAAGGAAGAGGAGGATCAGTTCAGTTCTCTGAATCAATAGCCCTTCACCAGCATAATACAGTTATTCATTGCAAGATATTACAATGAATAGCACTAACGTCCCACATTACAAAAATCTTTGAAAGGGTTCTAAGAAGCAAGATCGCCAACCTCCTAAATATCCATCAGTTCTGCAATCCAGGGCAGCACAGGTTTGGGTAACTCCTGCCTGTTCCAGCTACTGGACCACTATGACAAGGTCTTAGATGCACTGAAGGACAAACAGAATGCTGATGTAGTATACACAGACTTTGCAAAATCCTTCGACAAGTGTGACCATGGTGTAATAGCACACAAAATGTGTGTTAAAGGAATAACAGGGAAAGTTGGTAGATGGATCTATAGCTTCCGAACAAATAGAACACAAGGAGTAATAGCAAACAACAAAGTCTGAGGTGGCCACAGTGGAAAGCTCTGCTCCACAAGGCACAGTACTCGCTTCCATTCTGTTCTTTATCCTCATACCTGCCAGACATAACCTACTGTACCGTGTCTTCCTTTGTGGATGACACCCAAATTTGCATGATGGTGTCATCCATTGAAGACACTGCAAGACTAAGCGGATATTAACGAAATTTTTAATAGGCCACAGAAAACAATATGAGGTTCAATGAAGAGAAATTTCAATTACTCTGATATGGAAAGCTCGAGGAACCTAAAGCTGTATCGGAGTATAAATTCCAGCCACACAATAGACCGAAAAACTAATATGAGTGACTTGGGAGTGATAATGTCAGAGGATCTCACTTTCAAAGATCACAACAATATATCTAATACATCAGCAAGAAAATGAATGATGGATAATGAGGACCTTCAAAACTAGGGATGCCAAGGCCATTGTGGAAACTTATTCGGAAATAAATCACTGTCTGACTTTTTGGGTTATCCGAGGTACTTTACACATATGCTGCTATTTATGATAATTCTATGTAACTATTTGTGTATACCTGAATAAACTTATTAAAAGTTTCACAGGGTATAAGCCGTATGAAGCCCTTGACATCCACACACACATCCACACACACATCCACACACACCTACACATACACACAACACACACATCCTAGTTGGTGAAGGGATGCGAATGTACGTATTAATTGATAAATTTACCCTTCAAGGAAGGCTTAGGTAGAATTATACGGTTAGTAACTAATATTAGGATTAGTGAGGTAACCTTAGGACCCTAACATAGGTAGGCTTAGTCCTTTAGTATAGGCTAATATTAGGTTATATTAACTAAGGGGAACTGACAGCCCCAAGCCTGAACAAAGTAGGAGCAGGGCAGACAGGTAATAGTTTCTTCTTCCTGGACAAGACACTGGTGATAACATACCAGGAGCTGCAGCTCGGTGTCCCACATATCTACGCATACTAGACCTGGAGAACTCGGTATCAGAGGCATCCCGAAGTACCGTGGGCATTCGCCTCTGTATACACACACCTACATTAAGACAATACCTCTCTTTTTCTCAGCAAGGTTGGCCAGCATTCTGGGGAAAATGTGAGTTGAACTGTGGGTCTTTGAGCAGTTGGACGCCCTAAGACCAGTACGTACGGGCCTCTCCTCTTATGTATAAGTCTAGAAGCTAGTGTCACTGCATAAATATTGCTTAGGGGATATCCTTTGAAATCAAGGAGCTCAGAGGTGCAGGCAGGACACTAACACCTTCTGAATACTTAGAGAAATTAAGTCCTTCACTGCACATGGTGTCTCGAAGGAGAGAGACCATGTGGAGGTTGGAAGAAACTGGTGATATATTCCTCTCCAAGTCCTTTTGTTCGTGCATGTAGTTGGGAATTTTCTTGCGAGTTCAGTTATATATGGAAATGTGTCCCATAAGCCACTTGTGAGACAGAGAACTATTCTCGGGGTCTGTGTCAACAGCGCCTGCTAGGGCAAGCATCTCACTTGGAGGCAGTCCATAGATAAACTTCCAAACCCATGATGATTCTTTCTAAGCTGGAATATTGCTGTACATTAACGGGTCCCCCTCAAGGCAGGTGAAATTGCAGATCTGGAGAACGTACAGAGAACTTTCATGGCATGCATAAGTACGATAAAGCACCTGAATTACTGAAATCTCTTGATTTGTATTCCCTGGAATGCAAGCGAGAAAGATACATGACAATATACACTTGGAAAATCCTAGAGGGACTAGTCCCAAATTTGGTCACAGGAATCACTCCCTACGAAAGCAAAAGATTTTCAGGAGATGCAACGTTCCCTCAATGAAAAGCAGGGGTGCCACGAGTATGCTAAGAGACAGCAGAGTGTCAGGGGCCCAAGGCTGTTCAACTGCCTCCCAGCATACATAAGGGGGATTACAAATAGACCCCTGGTTGTCTTTAAGGTGCTGGAGAGGCACCTAAGTCAGTACTTGACCAACCGGGCTGTGGTTCATACTTCCTCACAAGTAATTTGGTAATTTGATTACCATTAATACGCCATATTTACATTACCACTTAACATTTATATTGCATTATATTAACAATTGTAGGAAAATTATATAAAAAAAATCGACAGTTAATGTGGAAATAAATCACTGAATTTTTTTTGGGTTATGCAAGGTAATTTGCACTGTCTGACCATTTTTCTTATGTGTACCTGTGCCGTGACCTGATAGCTAAAGCTCTCGCTTCACACAGCTAGGGTCTGGGTTCGATTCCCGGCGAGGGTAGAAACATCGGGCGTGTTTCTTTACACCGGTTGTCTATGTTCACCCATCAGTAAATGGGTACCTGGGTGTTAGTAAACTGGTGTGGGTCGCATCCTGGGACAAAACTGACCTATTTTGCCAGAAATGCTCTGCATAACAAATGGCTTTATATACTGTAATACATTACTGATGTCAGCCGTGATTAGTGACCAGATCTACCTGGAGTTCATTGCCTTTGTAACTAGTTCAGCTATCATAACTTTAGGGTCCAGTCACTGGACCCATTATGTACCTTTGTAATCTTTTGACTACCGCCCACAGGATGGGTATGGGGTGCATAAAGATATTAAACTAAAGTGTGTGTGTGTGTGTGTGTGTGTGTGTGTGTGTGTGTGTGTGTGTGTGTGTGTGGTGTGTGTGTGTGTGTGGTGTGTGTGACTCAACAATCAATATTTGCACCAATAACTCATTACAGTTGTGACCGGGTGTGGAAGTGTGAATTGCTCATTACTCTATAATTTGTTCATGATTGTAGCCAAAGTATAAACGTAAGTAACCATTCTACAGAATTCATTACCTTTGTACTTGTGAGCTCATTACCTTTGTACCTAGTTCAGCTATCAAAACTTTGGGGGCCCAGTCCCTGGACCCATTACGTACCTCTGTAATCTGTAAATACCTTTGTAACTTGTCATGATTGTGACCAGACTTACCTGGAGTTCATTACCTTTGTAAATTTGTGAGTTCATTACCTTTGTAAATTGTGAGTTCATTACCTTTGTAAATTGTGAGTTCATTACCTCTGTAACTTGCTCAGCTATCAAAACTTTGGAGTCCAGTCCCTGGACCAATTATGTACCTCTGTAATCTTTTGACTACCGCCCACAGGATGGGTATGGGGTGCATAATAAACATATTAAACTAACTAAAACTCAGCTAGGCCCGTATACCTTGTACATGTACTTAGAGTAAATCAAGATATTAAGGAAGGTTCCTTGACGTTGGTGAGAGGCTCTTAATCTAGGGAATTAGATCTGTGCTCCAGTTTCCTGAATTAAACCTGAATACCTTCCACATCCCCCCCCCACAGGCGCTGCATAATCCTACGGGTTTAGCGCCCCCCTTGATTATAATAATAATTATATTAACACAGTGTCTACCTACTGAGGCTCGCAGGACCCTATGTCTAGCCCTTATACAATGCCATATGGATTACGCTTGCTCTTCGTGGTACTCTGCCTTGACAAAAAAAAATGAAAGATAGACTGCAAATCACCCAGAACAAAATTGTAAGATTCATCCTGGGGCTGGGACCAAGACAGCATGTAGGCCAGAATGAATTACAGCAGTTGGATATGCTGAATGTTGAAAACAGAGTAAAACAACTTAAGCTAAATCATGTTTATAAAATTGCTCACAATGTCCAGAATATCTTGCTGTCAATTTGTCAAGGTTGGGAAGCAAAGCAATCATAGTACTAGGGGGAGAGAGCACAACTTAGTAGTATCCACAGTCATTGGCCAGGCTTCAAACACCTTTTATTGTACATCAATAAAGGAATGGAACAGACTACCCGCACATGTCAAAGCCAGTCATAGCATGAACCAGTTCAAGAAGAGTGCCAAAAGATGTCTGATGAATGTAGCTACAGAAAGGGAGGGGAATGATTATCTATTTTTTTGCTAGCATACGTGTAAATTTTACCTTATTCCTAGTAATGACCCTCGTATTGTAGATAGTCTTAATGACCCTCGTGTAGTATAGTCTTTTTAGTATGATAAGATGTTATCTTCATTATAGAATAAAAAAAACATTATAACCTTTATATTATAATAATAAGGTAAAAGGACCGCAATGGAAATAAGTCACTGACTTTTTTGTGTTATCCCAGGTTCTCTACACATATGCTGCTATGTATGATAATTCTATGTAACTGTATTTGTGTATACCTGAATAAACTTACTATAACATGTGGAGGCAGAGATCCACACAGTATAAGCTGCCAGTGGCCCTTTACAAACCCAACAAGAACATCAACAAACTTAGTAAATTGGAGCTAAAATTAGGTATCTTGTTCATCATGTATCTTTGGTCATCTGTTGAATCAGGTAAGTACCATTACTGGAAGAATTTTGTATAGTAAAAACTGTGCTATAGCTGCCGACCCCAGTGGAAACAGGTCGCTTTGACTGTTTTTAATGGAAATTAGTCACTTACTTTTTTGGGTTATCTTAGTTTTCTACATATATGTATGATAATCTATGTAACTATCTGTGTATACCTGAATAAACTTACTTTCTAATGATCTTTATTTCTACAGTGGTAAGGCTTCAAACACATTTTTCTATTCAACAATAAAAGAGTGGAATAGACTGCCTGCACATGTCAAAGCCTATCATAGCATAAGCCAGTTCAAGAAGAGAACCAAAATGTATCTCCTGAATAAGGAAGGAGAGTGATTTCTTGTATGAAAATAACTAATTTTACCTCTCCCCTGGTATATCTTCTTTGATTGTAACTGCCTTTACATAGTTAAGATACTAACCTGTTTTTAACTTGTAAATATAAATAATTAACACAAGGACACCAATGGAAATAAGTCACTGACTTTTTGGGGTTATCCTGGGTTCTCTACACATATGCTATGTAAGATAATCACTGTGTATACCAGAATAAACTTACAAGTACAAGGTATACAGGCCTAGCTAACATCAATGGCATAGTACTATATAGCGCTGTATAGCCCTCGTGCCTTAGCGCTTTTTTTGATAATAATAATAATAGTACTATATAGAAAGCCCCTTGTTATGCAGAGCATTTTGGGCAAATTTGGTCAATTTTGTCCCCAGGATGCAACCCACACCAATCTACTAACACCCAGGTACCTACTTACTGCTAGGTTAACAGGGACAGCAGGTGTCTTTAAGGAAACACATCCTAATGTTTTCACCCGTACCAAGGATCCAACCACGGATCTCAGTGTGCGCTGAGTGCGCTACCATTCGAGCAATGGGACACAGTTTTCGGTTATTGTAGCCAATTTACACATATTATTATTATTATTATTATTATTATTATTATTATTATTATTATTTAAGACAATTGTAACCATTCAAAGATTGTGTGATTGTACCTGACTGAAGTTATTTGCATATAACGCAACAAATACATTTGTTAATTATTTTACCATGTTGAATTTTTCTTCTGGTGATTACTTCTTTATGCTTCCCTGTACCCCTCATGGAAGGTTAGGGGCTCTTGATTAGAGAAAATAGAGCTATCTCACCCTTTCTTGGGACAGATCCAGATTGCCTCCCATTCCCATGTGTACCTGTGTCTAAATAAACTTTCTTAATGCTTATGTATCTGAGGTTTCTTCAGGTTGATTCCTGTGATATACCTGTTACCTGATATACCTGTGAACTGACCATTGTCTGCTTTGTTGTCGAGTGCTTGTTAAACCAGATTGTTGCTCTTGGCACTGCTCTCACCTCACACTCACTGTCCGTGGTTCAATCCCTGGTCAGGTGGAAATGTTGAACAAGTTTCCTTACACTTAGTGTGTGTGTGTTCACCTAGCAGTAAACAGGTATCTGGGTGTTAGTCAACTGGTGTGGGTTGCATCCTGGGGTACAAGACTGAATGATCCCACTGTTAATAAGACAGTCTTCAATGATGCACTGACTTCCTTGGGTCATCCTGAGTGGCTAACCCTCCCCAGGTTAAAAATCTGAACAAATCATATTTTATTCATTGCTTGGTTGATATGGCACTTTTACAGATACAAATATTAGATACTGGTTGTGGGTCTTTGATGGAACCCAAGCATTATTTTATATTTTACAATATGCACAAGCTCACTACAAAATACAGACAGGCTCTGCTTATACAGCAGGTTATGTTCTGCACTACTGCTGTAAAATGAAAATATGTAGCATATAAAAGCATATAAAAGCCTGATAACATGTTTACACTATCATATTAAGTGAGCAGTAGAACTAGGCCTAAAAAATGCATATACAGTGGACCCCCGGCTTACGATATTATTTCATTCCAGAAGTATGTTCAGGTGCCATTACTGAACGAATTTGGTCCCATAAGGAATATTGTGAATTAGATTAGTCCATTTCAGACCCCCAAACATACACGTACGAACGCACTTACATAAATACACTTACATAATTGGTCGCATTGGGAGCTGATCGTAAAGCTGGGGTCCACTGTACAGTACACATATTACTTTCCTTAAAAAAAAATTTGTTTTTAGCTAGTAAAGCATTTAAATTACCAGGATTGCCTTAGTCTTAAACATGTACTTACTAGAACAGAGGAGGGATACATGATAATATATACCTAGAAGGTTCTCAGTGGCCTGGTCCCACATCTGCACACTACCATAACATAATGGAGCAAGAGATATGGGAGGAAATGCAAAATAAACCCTGTGAAAACAGGGTTGCAGTCGAGACAATAAGGGGACACTATATGAACATACACAACCCCAGATTATTCAGTATCTTACCATAAGATTTCAGAAACACTGCTGGCACAAATGTAAAAGTCTTCAAAAGGAAACTGGACAAATATCTCAAGTGCCAGATCAGCCATATTGTGATGGATATGTGGGGCAGCAGGCCTCCAGCAGCAACAGCCTGGTTGACCAGGCTAGCAGCAGATGAGGCTGGCCTATGGCTGGGCTCCAGGAGTAGAAAGTCTTTTGTAACTTGTCAAAGATATATCAAAGGTGTAAACATTAGCTTATAGTGAATGGTGAATATATTTATTGCAGGAAATCTGAATAAGTGAAGAATGGTTATACAGTGGAACCTCGGCTCATGAGTTTAATCCGTTCCATGACTTTGCTCATATCCTGATCTGCTTGTATGCTGAGTCAGTTTTCCCCATTTAAATTAATTGAAATGCCATTAATCCGTTCCAGCGGAATTCCTGCTCTCAGGAGGCAGGAATATGATGCTAATATCAACTCTGGCTTATTTATCTATCACAGTTTATCTAATATGGCATATTAAACAATATAAATAGCATAGAAATCTGGGCCGCCTTGTTGTGGGTCAGCGGGGGAGACCTCCCACCATCCCCACTTCTCTCCTACAAGCTAGCTGTGTTTGTGAATTGTGTTTTGATCTTTTAATTACCATATCTTGTATCTGCCAGGCAATCCTGACACCCCAGTAGGCATACCAGTGTTGCTGAATGACTTACTGGCTTGACTGAATCACTTACTGACTTGACTGATCAACTGATTGACTTGACTGACTTAAAGTCAGACTTTTTCCCTGAAACGGTGTCTACAGCAGCTGATGCCTTACCATCAGTTGTATAATGTATTGCAGGGTAAAACAGAACAGAAATCCATTACAGAATTTATGCACACTCCAGTACAACCATCGACTTCAGTACCAGAACCTCTACCATTCGCCTCAGCCCAGTAGGGCCACAGCATAACTCTCCACTCTCTTCACAATCACCGACAAACACCAGCACCCACAATTTAAGGTAAAAAATATGTTCATGTACTATTATTTTTGTTGCAGTTGTAGTCTTAAGCAGTAAAAACAACATAATACATCACGACAATGAACTGCAATTGTATACGTATTCACTTTTACTTTTGTAAGATCTTGAGGTCTAAAAAAAAGTTGTTTGAGGGGGAAGCTTGCATCCTGAATTTTTGTTCGTGTCCAGTAACAAAAAGTCGACCAAAAAATCGACCGAGCAACTGCTCGTATCCTGAAAAACTTGTATGGCAGGGCACTCGTAAGCTGAGGTTCCACTGTAATTGAAAAGTGCTTCATTACCTTACCATCATGTTATAACCAAGTCATTGCCATTTTTATTTTTTTATTATTTTTTATTATCCTTTGCTACCTCAACTTGTGTATTTTGTCTTGTCAAATTAAATTTAGTTATACTCTAGTTCTTGTTAACAACTTACATTAAACCTTAGTGCAATTACAAGTGAGAGTCTTGTGCCATTTTAAACTAGTATTTTTTATATTGTTAGATTAAACCTAGTTGTACTTTAGCTCATTCTAGCTCAATACATAGACAACACCAAATTCATTATATTAGACCTTAGTGCAATTGCAAATGAGAGTCTGGTGCTATTTTTAATTTGTATTTTTATATTTTTAGTTTATACTTAGTTGTACTTTAGCTCATTCTAGCACAACACAAAGACAATATCAACTTCATTATGTTTATTATTGACTATACTCTATATGACCAAAGTGCTTTAGCTATATACTTGTCCAAACTTCCCGCTACTACAGATATCAGTATTAGAACTCACCGCACAATACAGGATATAAATAACCACTATTTAAACCTAGAAGATGAATAATCACGTTGACCCTGATATAAGCCTCCACAATATAACACCCAATCAAAACCTACTGGAAAGTAACTGCCTTTATTACACAGCATCACAAGCCAGCACTATCCTAAACAGTGCTAAAAGTCTATCAGTTCTTAACTACAACATCAGGTCCTTAAGCAAACACTATGATGAACTCCTGGCACTCCTTGAGCTGCTAAAGACACCCTTCTCCTGCATTATTCTTACTGAGACCTGGCTTAAGCAGGACACAATAGATATCTACCCACTACCAGGATACACAGCAATCCACAACTGCAGACCATACCAAGTTGGGGGTGGTATTGCAATCTATTACTCCAACCAACTATCTTGTATTAGCACCGCAGCTTTAGTGATGAATATGCTAATGATGAAAATGCTAATTTTACTGTAAAAAACCTTAAGACGCCTATAACAATTGGCGCCATTTACCGGATACCTCACACAAACATCCCAAATTTCAGTGAGAAATTAAAGGCACTAATAACAAACAGACAAATGAACAAGCACCACCACCTCTTAGCTGAAGACTTCAATATTAACCTTGGCCTACTAGATGATCAGCCTGTAACTGATTTCATCAACAATATGAACATACTTATACCAACAATAACTAAACCAACCAGGCTCACTGAGACAAATGCAACCATAATAGACCACACATGGACCAATATAATAGCCCCCCTTAAATCAGGGATAATCGCAGACAGCACTACAGACCACTACCCT